ACGGAGGAAAAGCACACAGCAGGAATAAATCAGTTTCAAGTAATGTACAGTTTCCCTGAAGAGCTGACTCGGATGGTTTGCGTTGATTCGGAGGAGTAAGCGCACTTATCTCACATTGCGGATATCAGAAGCGTGTAGAAGCAACAACGCATCGCCTGAAGCACCGAGTTCCTCAAGTGTAAGAGGATGAAGAAGGTTTCGATGGCAGTTTGAGAACAACTCTCAATGATGGTTTTGCAATTTCAGTGGCGTTTCCCGTCAATTCCCGATTTCGACTTCGAGGTTACATGCAGGAGTCAATGAAGAATCACGAAGACATCGCCCTGCGAGAAGGTGACCTATTCTCGGAACCGAACTGTCGTTCTCTGCAAATCCACCTGTATGGGATTCAGTTGTGGCAGTTGCCAATCTCGCCACTTTTACCCGGACAACATGTACGATGACTTTCGCAGGACAATGCTCCCATTATTGCAGACAACACTTTTCCATTATTTGTAATAAATACCCATCGTAGGTCTCTTTGCTCAACGCACACACCTTTTTCGGCAGCCACAAGTGTTCGTATGTAGGCTAGGAGTCTTCTGAATAAGACGGCTTTCATTGCAGCTTCTAAAGTTGCAGCGTACGATAAATACACGTGGGAAGCTCAAACGCCTTGATAAGGACCGGAGAAGATAGGGCGATAGTGGGGAGGGTGGGAGTTGGCCAACCAGGTGCCCGACTGTCGGCGATGATCTGATTGCAGCACTTCCTTACAGCCTCGTTTGGGTTGTGTTTGATGGAATAGCCACGGCCTCGCCTTAGCCTCTATTTACGGCCAGCGTCCGACGTGCATGCCTGGCACCTCGGTGCAGGCAATCTCATCGATCGCATGACCTTGCTGAAGGAAGCAGGTGGCACAACACGAATTTTACTGCCCACACCGACTGACACCATTGGAAGCTGACGGAAACCTGGTGTGCGTATCAGTTGGGACATTGGGGAGTGCGGAGCTCAGTCGCTTGACACTCCTCTTGTTCCCTCTTTCAGCCGCATGACAGCGTCTTTGGTGTGGGTGATTGCATTAGCTAATGAGCCTCCTCCTCCTCAAACGCACTGCACACACCTGTCTACTGCCAGTGAATATACACTGTTCTTTTGCCTGGGATGCGTTTAGGTTGTTTGATTCACGTGCGATGCAGTCTACACTGGACTATGGCTGTGAAACAGGCAACAGGTTTGACGAATCACTAGTGGGTTTGTTGTGGTTTGCAGTGGTAATGTCTTCAGCTCCATAGTCGAATTGAGCATTTGTGATTATCCGTGGCTATTTATCCCACTTTTCGTGTTGTTTATTGGTGATGCTTTTGCCATGGATGCTTTTGTTGTGAATCATATTTTTTTTCACACTCCTTAATCCTTGCGCTCCATCCCCTTTTCGCTGCCTGCCCCAGCCGCGCGGATCCACAACTCCCCCCTCATTTGCACGATTATTTATCTTTCATTATCCTAATTCCTAGGTCTCGATGTTTGCGCATGTATGACTCACCAATCTGAGGCATAAATACACACGCTAACCACACACCTGACGACGACTTCGTCAAGTCTTCAAATAAATTGTGGACTCTATTCTTCCGTTGACTTCATCCTTGTTGGATAGGTAGTGGTATATGGCATTGCAACACCTTGATTACCTTCATATTAAAGATCGTCATTGTGACACGTTTGAAATGATACAAATAATTTAAGTGAAAATATCTTTGAAGATTGACTTATCGGTTTTATTTATCCCGTCATTCTTATTTAACTGTGATATTAGACGTTTTGTATCTTTTGTTGAGGTTTTGCGTGGTTTGTTTCGTAATTTTCGCTGTTAGTAAAGCACCTTAAAAGATCGTTTTTTTCCGGCCACAATTTCTTCTTTAAATGTCAAAATTAGTAGGAGCTGCGTTCTCACGTTCGCTCACTTATGAAATCATACAAATTAATTTGGAACTCTCGTACGAGCACATTTGCAATTAATTGTATTTTGGCATACGTTTTCTAAAAGAGCAGTCTTTGTCCTTCATTACTGAAAGAGATCATGAAGTAGAAGAAATAACCCTTGTCTTTTGCCGTTAATTATTATCAGATGAGAATTGACCACTCTGAGATGCCTAAACATTTTAGCGGTCTACACTAAAGGATTTTCACATAGGAATTTGCTCTTTCCAAGTGGTGTTTTTGATCCATAACATGTCACCAGCGCAATCAAAATGCATTTATGTTTTGAGAGGTAATATTCACTGTAGTCACAAAAAACCCAAAACTACATACATTCATTTTGTGTGTTACGAGCACGACTTACATCATTAACCAAACTCAAATTGTGTCGTTACGTATGTACTCTTTGAGGATGATTCGTAAGCTTTCTCAAAATTTGGAATTAGGTTTACGATCATTTATATAGGTTTCACCAACATTAAAGACTATCCTTGAATCCTAGTAGGTGGCCTTTAGGCACCACAATGAGGTGGATACAGGCGATTTTTCACTTGCTTCACATGTTATATCTCGCCACATCGGCGCGTGCCTGTGTGTGCAGCGATTGCATAAACAGAGGGTGACCAGGAAGATCAAGGAAAGAAGCCAAAATGAGCGGTTAGACTAACTTGATAACTGTAAGTAAGCGCACTAACTTTCAAGGAATAAGTGGGATGGGCAGACAAAGGAATATTACAACAGTGTTTTCTTATTTACATTCAAAATAGAGGTTTCCAATGATGTACTTCATTCCATAACCTACATCTCACAGTTAGTGGCGAGTGCTGAATAAGAGTCGCTAATTACCGCGCTTCGTGGTTGCATGAACTGCTATAGTTGTAGTCATCTGCATATTTTATTATTCGTTTCTAGCTACGTGGTGACCAATTCTAACACACTAAATATCACTTGAATGAACATACTGGTGTTAAATGCCGTCACCCGCAGACCTCCATACTTCGACCCTGAAACGTCAACAGTTTATTGGTGATATATTGTCAGATAAATGCGAATTTTTTTGAAGATTTTTGCACTGTTGAATTAATGTAAATTTTTCGGGTATCCTTCGACAACCTTCCCAACGCATTTATTTGGAGTTTTACATAGACGACTGCAACGCATAGCCTGATATTTGATTGAAGGAGTCGGCAAGACCGCTTATGTCTGGTCTTGATTTTAGCTAACTCGTTTTTGCTGATCCTCTTCTTAATCCTAAATTTTGATTTGATGACTCTCGGCGTCCTCCTAGCTGGTTGGACAAAACATCCAAACGTGGACATCATATACACTATCAGGCAAGATTTCTTATAGTGTTGTCGATAGGTTTATTGTTTTAGTGGGAACTAGTAGCATTTATTGGTGATTGGTTTTTAGTTTTGTCAAGGTTAATTTAAATTTTGTGGAAGTCTTTTTCTGAACTTATAGATCACGAGTCCTCTACTAGAGTATTTACGTTTTAAAATGCATGAATTAATTATGGTCAGAACATTTTGGAGTTTTATTTATAGTGCATTCTAGGTCGCATGACCAAGGCTAAATTTATTAATCCTTCGAATAACTGCGAAATTCAAGCACGTGGTTTGTCTCATGCAGGGTAATATTCCGGAATGAAGCACAAAACAATTAAACCGTTAACAGTGAATTTACGAAGTACGTTCCTACTGACTAAAATGCATTGCTATCAAAATTCCATGCACGAATAATTTTGAGTACATGGCAATTGACGACATGGTAATGATCATTTCATTTTTTTACGTCAGGTGGTAGACCTTCTGATTTAAAATAGCTTTGGTAAGGTAATAACATGACTTCAGGACTTTGGACTCTGTCCCTGCAAAACCCCGAAACTAAAATTCAGCGGTTGCACAATTTCATTTAGCGACCTTTGTGCTAGGGTCTTCTAGACTTTAAAATAAATGTCACAGAACACAGTTAAAATTTTTATTCACTACTATTGAATATAAATGGGGCATTTGTCATATATTAGATTCGGAAGCGTTGCATGTCATGGAAATAGAGGACAACAACTGGGATCAAGGCACTAAATTAATTAAAACGCACTTCTTAGAGGAATACACACATTCAGGATTTTCAAAGTCTCCATCATTAGTAACTAGCACACCGTTTCTCAAAATTTACTAAGGGAAGGTGTGCGATGCAGGCTTAACTTGGCAAAAGATAAAATATTTTTTTTGGAAATATGAAAATGAAGGACCCATTGTGGGTTTCGCGCACACACCAGGATAATTTATTCACTTTTGCGGTTGAGACCTGAAAAAAATGGAAAGCGTTTTGCCGTATATTCGGCCAGTGAATCTGGGCGTGTTCAGCTGTGGCTGCCCACGCGCATCTAAAGATTGTGCGTATGAACAACTGAGACTCGTGCCATTGGTGTGTTTACATGGATTGTCAGTAGAACTGATTGCAAGGGTACACGATTAGACGGTTCACCGCGGGAAATAAGGGGATACAAATCAGAGATGAGACTAAATGATTCATTAAGGGATCCGGGCGATGAGTTAAAACAGCGGTGATCAATTGCGAACCGTGGTGACGGTCATGAGGTTGTATGAGTCATCACGATGACATTAATTTATATGAGTTATTTTGGCATTTTTTAAATGTTTTTTTTCGTTTTTCGGTGCTTTCAGTTTAATTACAGGCCATTTATACACCAACGTAAAAACGATCTGCTCAGGAAACTAGCAAAAATTGCGTGTTTCAAAATGTAAATTGAGGTTGCGAATTTTCACACGGTTTTACCGGAAACCGTTTGAGAATGACCTGTTGCATCAAGATTGACTTACGATTTTTGAGGACCAACAAAGTAACTTATCCATGACCTAATATACCTAAATAACAAAAACATTTAATATGACAAATATTTCAAGGTAACATTTCTAAGAATTCTATCCAAAATCGGATTTTCCTTCAGTAAACGACTTCTTTGAAGCACTGTGGCAGGCAGTCTGAAACAAAATTGAATCCATTTAAAATTTTATTAGCCCTTAAACTAAGCTAAATCATGAATTACTTAACTCATTCCAACTTGCATAGTGATTACAGGAGCTGAGACACAGGAGGCGCTATTGAATTTTCCCGCCTTGAATCGCAATATCGGGGTTCTTTAAGACGTCATTTCTAGTCACTTCATAGAGGCCATGTCACAACAGATATACATTGGGATCTCCTGACTAATGTCGCATACAAGACATCTTCACTGTGGAATACTGTCCTCGTTAACATGATCATCTGTAATTTTTCCGTGTGTTTTTATTCTGTCGATGGGTCCCATTTGCATTTTATTTTGAGAGAATGTGAATGTCGTCAATTTAAATGAAACACCCGGCTTTATACTTTTTGACTCTAGGCTAACTAATAGTATTAGAGACACGACGGAATTAGTCATCTGAAATTTGTGGCCCATCAAAGCCTAAGGTGGTGGTTGAAGATTTAAGTTTGCCTCATTTTAATTTTTTTGATAATCCATAAAGCTCTGTGAGCTGTCGACAGGCTATTTCTCGAGATTCTAGTAAGGCTCATTATTCCGATTTGCTCATCTGATTGTAAATTGAAGGGTTGTGAAGGAATATGTGTGAAGGCTTATTGCCAACAAAATTGCCGAAACTAATGGGAGGCAGATTAAAAACCATTGGCAGAAATGATTGCGTTTGGAATTCAGTGAAATTAAAAATCAATGGTTTTAAAAATCACAAACATTGCTTTCATGAGCAACAATTTCGTTGGGGAATTTTTTGAACAAGTCGGCACCACTCTGTTGATTACTCATATCTTAAACCCAGAGGATTGCTTCGCATGTTGATGAATTTACATTTACTTTTTAACGAACAAAAGCGAAATAAATATTTTGTAATTAAAAGGACACATTGATTAAGAGCTTTTACAAATTATTAGAAAAAGTGTGACAGGACGTGATTTAAATTTCAGATTATTTACCCAATCTAGAACTCCAGTACCTCATTTTAAAAACTGTGAAAAATTTTGGTATATAAGTTATAGCTGTTTTACGTATAAACTACAAATGCATGAATTGAATTAAAGACTCAAAATTACGGAATACTGTGTTTTAACGCACCACAAAATGGGCGTCAGAGTAGGCCGTCCCATTTCGCCACCAGTAGGTGCGTGCCACTAACGCTGTTACGGTTGTTCCATCTCCTTCTCTTGCTCCTTACATTCCCCGCTGCTCCCTCTTCGTGTCTTCCCATCTTTTAATGTCCACCTTGTAGGCCATTCTCAATTCCTGTATTTTAACAATTAGAACTAACTTCTCAATCGTTCCTTATGTTATGTCCTCTCCCATTGTACGCGGTATTCAGGAATTCACTTGGTGTTTCGTACTCATTATTGTCATAGTTTATCGGGGATGAATAATTTAAATGAATAGCCTGGCTATAAACGCTCTTTCTATATTTCTGTCAGCTCCCAGGTTACGCTTTCACTGCACATGATATACTAAAGAAGTGGTCTGACCCCCTCTGGGAGAGTTATCTCATTTTAGGGTTGCTCAAGCCGTTTTTAATTTTGACTTCTATAACGTCAAACTTGTGCACAGTGTGCTGTTTTCCACAATTGAGCTATCTTTCTGTGCTTTGTTCAGATAAACTTGGCTTCTTTTACCCCGACACACGCCCAGCTGCTTGTCGTTCTCAGCTCAGTTAATCCCCCATAATTTGACATTCAACACTGTTTTCCAGATCTAAAGCAGTCCTCTCACGCTACACGTCAATGGGTGGGAAAAAAAGAGTTCAAAAAAAGCCTCAGGCACAATCTGGGGACGCCGAAAAGGTAACGGAACGGGTTGAAGAGATGAAGATAGGGGACAGCGAGCCTGACTGCTCCAAAGGTCTTTATGGAGTATGCCCTTTTCACCAGTCTCAATCAAAGGAAGGGCCCGAGTATACTGAGATCTATGACTTATTTGACTCCAAATATGTCGACAAGGAGGTTTGCGTTCGTGCACGCCTCCACCGCAGTCGGGCTAAGGGCAAGTTGTGTTTCGTCGTTCTGAGAGACAGACAGTATTTGCTCCAATGTGTTTTGTCTACCGGAGAACACGTGTCAAAGGCTATGCTTAAATTTGTCGGGAGGTGAGTTGACTGTTTTGTTTATGCTGCGGATTGGACTCTTTGGCCAAAAGTTTGCCTTTCCAATGCATTCTATCGCCGGCCACGTTTTGCTTAAATATTTTTACAGTTGTTAGCCGTCATTGCATTTAATTATTTCGTCAGTCTCCCCACATAACAACTGAAGTTCGTTGACTTGTATTAAAGAATTCATATGGGGCTGTCATCTTAATTATAGCATTTCGAAGGAATCGATCATTGACGTTTACGGTGTCATAAAGTCAGCGCCTGCGGCAGTTGAAGGGTGCTTTCCTGATAACATTGAATTGCACATCTCCAAGGTGTTCGTCATAAGTGCCTCTTCACCTGTTCTTCCATTCCAAATTGAAGACGCTGTGAGACCCGATGACGATGAAGATGTAGGTTTAAAAACGGTGTAGCTCGTTCACATAGCTGTAGTGTGCGACGCTTCTAACGCATTAATTTTTGTAGAATTTGAGCCGCGTTAACCAGGACACTCGCCTTGACAATCGCTTTATTGACCTCAGAACCCCAACCAACTATGCTATTTATCGCGTAGAGCACGGTGTCGTTCATCTCTTCATGGAGTATCTCGATAACCATGGCTTCATAATGATTCACACGCCAAAGATAATTGGAGGTGCTTCTGAGGGTGGCGCTAACGTTTTCAAATTCAAATACTTTAATATGGACGCCTGCCTTGCGCAGTCACCACAATTGTACAAGCAAATGGCGATTGCTTCTGATTTCGGTCGAGTAAGTCTATTTATTTACTTATTTGTGTACATGGATTTGAAATACATTCATATTTGATTTCAGGTCTACACTATTGGTGCTGTATTCCGCGCCGAGGACTCGAATACTCATAGACATATGTGTGAATTTGTCGGTCTTGATTTGGAAGTTGCCTTCAAGACTCATTACCACGAAGTTGTTGATCTCATCGCTGATATGTTTGTCAACATTTTTAAGGGTCTCCAGCGCGAGTACGTTCACCCAGTTGACTACTTTCCCTGGTTTATGTTATTTGACCGTTTTCTGCTTATGGTTTATTTCCTTTAGTTACGCAGTGGAAATCGAGACCATCAACAAACAATACAAAGCAGAGCCCTTTAGATTTATTGAGCCAACGTGAGTTTTCTTCCGCATTGTTTTAGTCTGTAATTTACTGATTCTGTCATAATTTAGCGTAAAACCACTCTGTCAACATTTCGTTTAGTTTGAAGCTCGAGTTTGCTGAAGGTATAAAAATGCTGAGAGAGGCTGGTTGGGAAGTCGGAGACTATGACGACTTGAGTACTCCTGCCGAAAAGTTCCTCGGGAAGTTGGTGAAGGAGAAGTATGGGACGGATTTTTACATATTGGACAAGTTTCCCTTGGCCATCCGTCCTTTCTACACGATGCCCGATCCACATAATAAGGTAGATTAGCAACTATGCGCGTCGCCACATTTTTATCAAGCTACTTTTATAGACCGTTTTCTATTTGATCTGAGATTAATTTGTGGCTGCAGTTCCTACATGCATGCTCGTCTAGAAGTGTACTATACTTGTTAATCACTTGCGTTAGTCAAATTCACCTTATTACATGGCCTCTGATATTCTCTCCTCTCGGTCATTGTAACTTTCAGGTTTAGCCTACACATCAGCCTGTAAACAGTATTTTTTTGTGTAGTGGGTTCCTCTCTTCAACTGCGTTGTGCGACCCACAGTGTTAAGTTCATTTACCGAGCAGACGCAGGTCCGACATCAGCACCTGGGGCAAACTTCCCTTGAACCACGGCTGCATTCTAGTGCTACTTTGACTGAAATATTGATGGTAGACCCAAGAAGAGTTGTAGGTAAAGAGTGTTATCCAGGTTTGCCCTGGACCTTGATGAAAAAGATTGACGTGATGCTGTCGCACCAAATCTATCCGATAATAATACGGACACTTGCGTCGCATAAGCGGGCCCGTATTTTGTCAGTTAGGATATCTGTAAACATCAGCCTGACCAGCCAGTTTTGGACCGTGTTTTCTGTCGAGCTCTCTCGATACTTATTCACGTTTATGGTTATAACTTGAATGATCTAAGCAATATCATTCTCTAGGAGTCGACCCACGGTCAGATTAAGTTCCTAAATGTCGTTCTTGTTGGTAGGTCAGTTGTCCTAACACGTCGACAAAAACATGTCTGCTAATGTTCTCTGATAATAGTGGTAGCTCAGTTTAGATGTCTGGGAATTTATCTCCCACTGATGAGACTGCATGGGTATTCGCAGCGTTCATGTCCAAACAGTTTGAACTCATGTTGGGGCCCAGCAGTAGCATGGCTGTCTATTGTAGTCTAAGATTACTGACATCGATGCTGAAGGCCTTGTAATGGTTGCGTTATCAAAAATTCGATTTTATTATTCGAGTCCCTCGGGATCTCGTTAAATTAGACATTTTTCGGTGGTGAGAATAAAAATGTCATAATGTAGTGTGCGCGTTTCTTCTTGTTTCCAAATTTAATACTACTTTGTTATTAAAGCAGCTTAAGTGATGAAAAATCAAGGTGTGGTTGGCGCAATTCAGAGCAAATGTTACCAAAAAACTGCTTTGTGATTTACTGGTATTTTTGTGGTAATTATTTTTCAAACGTCTAGTTTCCAAAATACGCACTCATGGAGATACCCTTGGCAATAACTGGGGTTTAGGATATTTTGAACGCCTTACGGGATTACAATAATTATGGTAATTACCAATTTAGGTCGTCTCGAATTCCTACGACTTTTTCATGCGTGGCGAGGAAATCATGTCTGGTGCTCAGCGAATCCACGACCCCGATTTCCTTACTGAACGTGCCAAGGCTCACGACATTGGTAAATACTTTAAGTGGCGTCTAATTGCATTCACTTACAAGCATATTTTCATGCTGTTCCTTACAGTCGTGTGATTGGCACAAATTTTTTTTATTAGGCTTAGTGGTTTCGTGGACACAATCACCCGACAAATGTACTCAGGTCCCCATTTTTATGCTCTCCTTTGCGCAAAATACAAATAACTTTAATTGCATCTAGATGTGAAGACTATTCAGTCGTACATCGACTCCTTCCGCTACGGCTGCTCGCCTCATGCAGGTGGTGGAATTGGTAAGTTCTGTCGTTTAATGCGCATCTTTTTTTCGCTTTAATTGGTCTAGGCTTGTTCGCGGGTTAGTTGCTGTCAAACCACGTCATTGCCTGGGTTTCGTGTGCCCACAGTTACTCCCGGTAGACTAGGCATAGGTAATTCATGTTCGTATTTGTATGTCGCGTCTTTCTAATAAGCTGTCATCATGTAAATAGTTGATGCGACTTAAAAACCATTGGTCGGTGCGAAACAACCTTTCGTGATTTATTATTTGGTAAATACTATACCATTCGCTAATACTGCGCATTTCTTACCAAATCTGCCCATGATTTTCATCCAGTCCCAGATATCGGTAGACTTTAAGGAACAGTTGCCAAACCTTTGTCGTTTCATCAACCAACCAAGATTGCTGACCCCAGTTTCGTCAAAAGCTGTGTTTCGGTAGAGCCTGTAATTGCTTGCTTTTATCTTAGGTCTCGAACGCGTTACCATGCTGTTCTTGGGTCTCGACAATGTTCGAAAAGTTTCCATGTTCCCTCGCGATCCTAAACGCATCTCGCCTTAAGTGACGACTACTCGGGAATTGTTTTGACCAAATTGGCTTTTATCCCTACTTTGGTTACAATAAAACTAATTGGATCTTGTGGTCATGCTTTGTTTCAAAAACCGGAATCCCTGAGAGCGTGGACATTCGTACGTACTAACTTGACTGATGTCATGAAATACTTGATCTCAAAAATGGAGTTTATAAGAGGTTGGAATCGTTAAATCCCAATCCACTTTGGATTATGTGGGCCGATGTTTGAGCAGCATTTGGAACGCCAAAATGCTCTTCTTTCTGCTAACTTGAAGAAAGGTGAGAAGAGCTTTGGTAGCCTCCCAAATTCTTCGTGCAGGTCCTCTTGCCAAGGAATGCGTAGGTAGTATTTGGGAAATGGAAGTGGGAACTGTAGCTAGTTTCCCAGAGGCATCTCAGCTGTATTTTAGTATGCTCAGCAGCATCATCTCAACCGGTCATCCATATGATTTACCATTTAAATGAGGATATTCATGTGGGATCGCCGAAAATGCGGACGTCTGTAACGTGTGGCAGATGGCATTAAAACTTCTTTCAAGTGTTAGTTTTGTGGTTTTCAGAAAACCATATCAAGATAGGCGAATAAGAAGTCGGTCTGCAGACCGGGAATCGCCGCTTGTAGGGTCATGGGTGACCTGCTCCATTCTAATTATCTGGTGGTAAGTCATAAAATCCAGAAACAGGACAAGGCTAAACATTGAATCAGCCGCCGAAGTTGATTTGCCGATTATAAGGCACCCAGAAAGGGCTGTTGCAATGGCTTCCAGTCACTAGCAATGTTCTTTATCGCAAAGATGTGATAAGATCGAATAAAATATTACAAGTGATGCAGGGAGGTAAGCTAAGTATACTTCATCGCTAGCCCCTGAAGGGCGATACAGCGAGGTGGAAACAAATTTCGATTCACTCGGCAGACATGTCGTGCATGAGCATGTTCACAGAGGTCTTGATAACAGAGACCAATCGAAGGTACGAGTGAGTCACGGACACAATCAACTTGCGGTAAACCGCTTCGAACTAGCGTCCGCCCACGTGCAAGCTGCTGCCACACGTTGAAAACAACCTCTAACAGCGCACTGTAGTCATTTATGAGGAAGTGAAAAGTCGTGCTAACCTAAAGTGACCAAAGTATGGTGCCTTGTTCACATTTTGTTTACTTTGTGCAACGGTACTTCATGAACGGCCATGCATGCCTCTCAGCACCGGGTTTTATCACGTGCCTATATTCTTTCATCCGATATTCTAAGGAGTCGTTGAGTTATTCCCGAGTTCAAGTGCCTCGGGTTACCATAGAAGTAATTCGTTCAATTGATTCCTTCGTATATAGACACATCTCTGTGGACGGGTTGAAGTGACTTATTTGTTTGCTAAAAGTCAGCAGACTGTCTACTAAACAATGGGCTTATTTGTACAACCACCACTCATACAACAGCCAACGTGGAGGTCGGTGGAGGGCCTTTCACCAGGGACGGAATAGGCTCTAGCCTTGCTGAATCGGCACCATTCACAGCAAAGATGAAGACTATTTGTCTTAGAAGAGTCACTCGGAAATTATTGTGCTTGAACCAAAAACGAAGTGTTCCTCTTACACTACCAGACGTACCTGTTTTCCAGACCTATTATTAACTGCTCACATTTTGGTATTCAATGTCGCCATGACTTTTATTTCGGTGTACGTAGTCTAGTATCGGTAGTGTGCCCGATCTAAACTATTGTTCAAACCCTCATTGGCCCTGATTTTCAATACCTGAGGGCAGTGATAGCCAAGAGAGTTTGTGAATACACGGACAAAGGATTTCGGTGTCATGGTAGTCTCACTGTGCCTTTTATGGAAATTGTGTAGGCACGACACTCAATTTATCAAATGACTCATTGGATTTGACAACGCTGATGAAACCCCGCCGTCGCCTATTTGACTGGACGCACCTCTTTACGCCCACGCAAGTTGTGTTTGGTGTCTCTCAGCGTTGTTAAGTCGTCACGGCGTTTTTACAATGCATGTGGAAGCAGGTTTGCCTCGAGGAGTAGTCAAGGTGGTCGACTTTCGACCGATCTGACAGTTAACCGCCTTAGAGAGCCAGTGCTGGTGTACTCGTTTCTCGTCCAAAGACCAGCACAAGTAGAATTTTATGCTTGTAACGCAGCCAAAGTTTGAAAATTTTTAAGTTATTTAAATATGCCAAAAGCAGCCAATCAACTATTTGCAATTTTGACTTCACTCATTAATCAAAAGATGGAAAAAAAACTTGTAAAATGTGCTTGTTCCAATCCACGTACATATTGTCAAAGGAAATATCGTGAATATGCTCACGACAACAATTGACATGCAGCCAATGTTTCTTTTCAAGTCGTTTCTAATGTAATTTCTTATAAATTCGGTTTCTATGTATGGTTCCGGAGCTTCCTACTGCCTAAACTTCATTTTAAAGGAAAGCAATAAATCGGTTAATGGAAGAGTGGTGTAGAGTAATAAAAATTGTACTAACAACAAACTTTTACAACGATTTACAGTATTTACATGTTAACAAGTTGCGTTGGTTTACCGTCGGCCTTGCATTGGCCAGGTAAGTGTTTCCAGAGTGAATGATACTCTAATATGGCGTCAGATTATGTGCTTTGTTTTCAAAAGAGTTGAAAGCATACAACACTTGTTGTACTAACAAGGTAGTGGGGTTTATTCGTTAATTGGCCTAAATTTCAACTTTGCCGCCTTACTTTCCATACGTGGCCCTTGAGAAAACCTTGAGAGATTAAATCCACACATTGGTCTCCCCAACTACCCAAGAAAATTGTAAGCACCACTAAATGCTAACTCAACTTTGGCCAAGTAGCAAAAAAACATCTAAAGGAGTTCACCACATAGATATAGGCAGTTGACCAATATAGAAATGCCGGCCATAGATTCCTGTAAACTGCCACATGAAATAAACCCTAATAAAGGAACCTCTAAATGTGAAGGTACACACGTGAGTGTATCAGAATGGATAAGAAAATTTAAAACTGTAATTTCCGTATATAACAGAAAGCCATGATTTTTTTTATCGGACTTAAGATCACCACCGCATCATAATGCGTAATAGTTTGACACACAAACGTTTTGAAACAGCATTAACAAAAAAACACGACATTCAAATCTCAAGTCACCAAAGAATTTGGTTAACTCATCAATTAAACGGCTAACAAAAATTAAAACTTATTCATTTGGCTTCTCATATGTATTTAAGCATCCAACGCAACACTACATCAACATTTAGCTAACTTTAACTAAGGATGTCGGAATCAGGTTCACATAAACTAAGAATTGCCTTATTACGCATATGACACTGTAATATAACAACTAAGTTGAAGCTAAGACTCACGGAAAGCAACGTATACCATGTATATCTGTTAATAAGTAAAAACGTATTTCAGAAAAACATGAACCAATAAGAGAACCATTCATAGCACTGCAAATGATCATTTCAGTAAATGCAAGCCCGATAAGGACTAGCCACATTTGCAAGATTTGTGAGCCCATAAACACCAAAGATGGGACAATTTCTTCAGCTTTAAGAATGCATGTCACATCAAAATTTTGTTAGCTTATCAAATATTGGGCGAATAGCCCACCTGTGAACAGCAGAAGTTTATTTTGATTAGTAACTTTAAGTATCTGGTCAAAATGATAAGTCTAGTGTTAACAGCAATATTCAAATTATTGTCAAATCGGTCAACGCAAAAAGAGCTGGGAATGAATTGTAGGTTGCAAATCAATATCGAATGACCGACATCGAACCCAATCAACTGAGAATAAACCAAAAACTTTTAAAACAGGATCGGGTCATTTCAGAAATGTAACGTCCATCATGAACGGGGATCTGTTAGGGATAATTACGGTCAGATTCCGACTTAGTTACAACCACACTATCATGGTTTGCTCACAAACACAAGTCAAGTGAAAAGGAAAACGGAGAATTAGGAATATTTCCAAATTCTCGAATATGACGCAAAAAGGCTAAAAAGTGAGAGATCAGTCTTGAAATTTAGAGAAGTGAGAGTCATAGAAGGAAGTTGAGTTGACTCGAGAGTACATAGCCATGACCTAAAACAGAAGAATTTGGCAGGATGGTAGCTAAATCAAGCTAGAATACAAGAGACTAACGCCAGGCTCGAACGGTGTGCAATGACGGAAAGAAATATATTAACTAAAGTATAAAACTGCTTCGTTAGCTTACAAATACTATAATTATCTGCATCATAAATTATTTCTTCTGCATGTTTCTTGAAAAATTATCTGCCAAACCGACGTTGTGTGCCACTGCACAAATTACATGATGGAAAATAATCATGAATTTATTTAAAAACCATGATAAACTTGATGATAAATGAGCTAAATTCACAATCTAATTGATGAGTTTCATGAAGCTCACTTTCACCATTACAATTTTTTGATGCAAATATATTGATTTTAAGGTGTTATTCTGCCAAAACAATGCTAGGAACAAAATATTATGGTGAGATATAAATACGCTCAGTAATCATACTGGTAACATGACACTTTTTTAATAAAAAAAGTTGCATAACCTAATTTTTTGGTGGAATAATTCTAGGATAAAAGAGAACATTCGGACTTAAAGAAACAAAATTCTGTCGACATTTTCCGAGGACTTCTGGAATAGAAGATTTGGACTATATTAACGCACCTAATTTAGCAAAATAATGTTAAGGACAAAGTGTTAAATTTAGAAAAATG